GAGACAGTAGAGTCCGTGACACGTCCGTGACGCAGACCAAACTTTTGGCCCTTGGTGGAGCTAGTCCGCGACTCGAACATGCTCCCTCCATGAGCAACTTCAAGCTGTGGTCCCGGGGAGTCTTACCCGGACGTTTTGACCCTAAAAACATTTATAAAGACACTAGGGTCACCTCCACTGATTTTAGACTCCAAACAAAACATAAAAACATGAACAACATACTAGAACACACCAACACGCAAAAGACTAGTTTCCTAACGTCTTGGTCGTCCCTTGACGTTTGATTTCCAAACTCTTTAAAACTGACTAAAAAGGCTATTCTTCATTATTTTAACAAGTTATTAATGCATAAAATCCATGTGAGGCTCTACTTTATCCTACTTCATTTTGAGGGTCGTTACATAAACCAAGAACACAATAAGCTCAATAAGGGTGTCTACAACAGTACTCAATCAGAGCTAACATGCAAGTTCCATAGCACGACTACTCTCAATAACACGCTACCCTCAATCATGATAATAACACTTCAAATTATGAATAGCTAGATTCAACACAAGCTCAAACTCACTTTAGCTTCTTATCAAAAGCAAGAAGATGTTTCAACAAATGCATTCAAGTGCCCTCACAGCAAGAACAATTACATGCTCTCACACAACAAATCAACAAATGTATATGGAATCAATGCAACTTTCACTTTCTCAAAAGATAAACACATGCAAGCTTTGTCCCATTGGTTTGTCCGTATTTTGCAATCATCGCATAACCTAGTTCATGTAAAATCTTAACGTTCTTTTAGGCTTGTAATGGAACTGAGAGTGAAGGTATGGTCAATTTGGATTGGTGACTTTACTTTTTCAGAGCATTGTTTCAATCATCATCACCTCTTCTCAAGTTCCTTTCATTCCTTTTCATTTGAGAACTCAAACTTTGATTTGTCACTCAATTTATTTGGAATCCCCTTTTAATTCATTCACTTCTCTTTTGTCATTTTCATTTTTTCCAATGCATTTCGATCACAATGACTCTTTTTTATCCTTTTTTTTAATAACGAGGGATTACTTCTCTTTGTATAACTTCCAAAGTTGAGTCTCATTTCATCTTTTTTTTACCCTTCACTTGGCTTTCATTTTCATTTCTTGTAACACCCCCAACTTAGGCTTTTGGCTTAAGTTGGCTATCCAAACATCACAATGCTTTCAAAAAGGATTTTGGTGAGAAGGTAAGGATAATTTTGTTCAAGAGGCTTTCATTTGGTTGCCCACAAATAGGTTAGGCTCAAATGGTGCAAAAATATATTCACACCCTAACAAGGATGTTAGAAAGTATTATGGACAATTTGGTTCCCTCTTTAAATTTTTGCCCAAGATCATGTATCACGCTTACTAAGTTCATACAATTAGACTAACAAGTCAAATTCTAGGATTCCATCTGCATGCTTTCAAATAAGACTGCACCACATATGACACTTAAAAATACACTCATTTGGCACATCCCACAAAGATTAAAAACGTACGCGTGATGCTCATTGCAAGGCTCACATCAAAATGCATCTAGTCAATGAAAGATTAAAAAAAATCACTCAAAAGCGCAACCACATCAATTTCATTATTGCATCACTAACACTATACACCATGCTTATCATGAGTATTATTTAAAACATCAATATTGAATATAATCGATCTCAAATATCATATTGAATATGTTACTAATACTGACATTCCCCGACTTATTCAACGAATCCCAAAGTAAAGCCAGATCGCCTATGAGGTCTATAGCTTAGGACAATATGCCATTCACTATGGCAGGCTACACCATCGTTGCCCCATGCGCATGCGCAAATCGCTATTCCTTGCATGAATATCACCGATATTATAAGTGTGTTTCTCATTTAGCGTGCCTGACTAGGTGGACTACAATGGGTTTACCTAACGGTATCAGCGCATCGCCCAATAGGTTATAAGAATCACCGAAATAGACACTGAGCTCCTAAAGAAAAGCCTCCCATTGGCGGACTCATTGGAGCTCTGCCAATTGTACTCAGTGCCTCGCCAAGTTCCCTTTACCGTCCCATATTTTTACACAAAACTTGCACATATTAACTCCCACATTATTGAAAATACTAATACTTGGGTTGCCTCCCATGAAGTGCCTAATTTAATATCGCAACACGACAAGGATGTGTTGTTCAAACATGATCCAAATACAACTTCAACAACCCTCACATCTTGACTTTTTCCAATGTATGCCTTCCACCTTTGCCCATTGACTGTGAATCTCAACCCCTTTGCATCTTCAATTTCAATTGATCCATTGCCATACACTTGTGTTATAGTTTGCGGAACAATCCACTTGTACTTGGGCTTACATGGGAAAATTTTAAACCTTGAATTGAACAGTAGGACTAACTCCCCTATCTGAAACTCACGAGGTAGCATCTTAGCATCATGGTACTGTTTAACCTTTTCCTTATATAGGGCGAAGCTTTTGTAGACTTACAAACTAAATTCATCCAACTCAAAGA